TGGCTAACAATTTCCCCTGTAGTCTTGATCAAGACTATGGCTATGGCTCGTCATCGGTCGTTGCTGCATGGCCGTCACACCGCGCCTCCACAGCCTCCGCCATCGCCGTCCAGCGCCTTCATGCTACCACGCTGTACAAAACGATCCGCTACCGAGCACCTCCATTGAGAGCACACACGCGCCGACACACGGCCCGACGACCTCGCCGCACCGCCGGCACTCAATGCCATCACGCCGCTGGCTATGACGAGCGCGCCCGTGGCGATGATGACGAATCCCATGACGAACTAGCTCATGATACCAATTGTTAGCACTGACCTGTAGCTTGCTCTTTGCGCCGGTGCCCAGCTCCTCTCTCTCTCTCTCTCTCTCTCCCTCCCTCCCTCCCTCCCTCCCTCCCTCTCTCTCGCACGAACGAAGATCAAGACTATGGCTAACAGCCACGATCGTGGTCGACAGAATCAAATATCACCTGAGGAAGATAGAGCATCACGGGGATTGCTAGCCAGCGTCGAGGATCCCCCAGGACTGCAAGAAATCAGAGGCAAAATGAAATCTACTCTCCAGCTGTGGATCAATCCATATTGGTCGGAGCCTTCGAATCTTAAGAAGACCTCGGAGATCAACCGTATTAATTCGACAGCGAATGAGAAGCATGCAGGCGGATTGGGAGAGATCCAGTTTTCCGGAAAGCATAGTCAGGCAATTTCCAATGGTCCCCGTCTCTCTCAAATGCTGTCATAAAGTAGATCTCCAATAGTCTCTGCTTTGTCCGTGAATGAAACACCAGGTTAGCCCAGTGATAGGGTAGTGCCAGTGTTTACAAATGGAATACTTCGGTTCTGATGTACTCCCTCGTGTCCTTTTTACTTTACATATAATAATTGTCTAAAGTCAAACTTCTTAAAATTTGACCATATTTATACAAAGAATTATCAACATCTACAATACTGAAGTTAAAAATCATGAAAATCAAATTCCTGACACATGTAATGATATTGATTTTGTATTGTGAATGTTGATATATTTTTTTCTGTAAAGTTGGTCAAATTTGTGAGGTTTGACTTCAGACATATATGCAAACTAAAAATGACCCGAGGGAGTAAATAGAGGTTGTCTTCAGCTCTTGTATATGTTGAAGGTGCTTCTGGTCCTGATGGCTTTTCTTTTAGTATCTTCCATCAGCAATTTGGGGGCTTATCAACCAAGACTTGATGGTTGCTTGCAATATGAATGAATTCGATCTATTATATACTTAATTTTTCATTATTAAAACTCTCATTCCTAAACAAGCTCATGCCAACACTATCCAGATAGGTCGGAGCCTATAGTGATTGGCATTATGGTTGCTTGGAAAATGAATGAATTGGATCTATATAGACCTAATTTATTATTATTATAAAACTCTTGTCACTACTAGAATCTGGTTTTTTTCCCGAGTTCTAGAACTTCACCGAGTTCATTCTATCGGGAACTCGGCAAACTTCTGTCTGTCGAATTTGATTTACAATTGGACTCAGCAGTGATAAGCAACTTGGCAGAGCTATGACTTTGACTGGTTCCAACGAAAAACGACTCAACGAACTAAATAAACTCGGCAAAGTCTCATTATTATAGAACTCTTATGCCACCACCTCCTAAGTCGCCGCCGGCGAAGCCGTGGCGAGGGGAGGGTGGCAGTGGTGAGTGACGGGGAAGGTGGCAGTAATCGAGAGTGGGCTCGCTCTGGTGGCATGGGAGGTCTTGTCCGTGCCATCTCGTGACCTCATGGTGCTGGTGTTAGTGTCCTGAACTATGGGATACTCACTACGTCATCTCCCACCTTGCAAAATTTTGGAATTCATCCCACAGCAAATTGGCAGGGAATGACAACATTTGATTGAGCTAATGGAGCATGGCAACTTAAGTTCATGCATCATGAAAAATCCTTTCTGTTTTGTAAATAAGGCGAACAAATTCCTTTTAATATGACCATGGCAACTAAAGTTAATGGAGCAAAGCAAATGTAGGTTTTGGCTCATGGCAGTTTTTACTACGTTGCCATGAGCAAAGTAGTGGCTCATGGCATTTTTTACTACGTTCGTACTTTCATGGCAATTTTTTCCTCATACCATCCAAACCTTAATATGCATTTGCCATGGCAATTTTTTTGTTTTGTTTTTACTTGCGCATCAAATTTATCAATTAACATTTCTGCAAAAAAGATTATCAATTAACATACAAAACATGACATTTTGTACTCATCGTGCGTCTCTATAACTAAATCTGTGAGGAAAAATGATGCCAAATGCCATCTTTTTCTGACTAACGTTTCCCAGCTAACGGGGGTCCTACCCGTACGTCTTCCGAGTCCATTAACTATCGCCGTCTTCTCGTCTTTCGGGCCTCCATTAAGCAGGCACAAGTGGACGAAGCGTCGGCGTGGCGTAGTAACTTCCCGCTCGCGTGCATTCCATCTACAAGATGATCCGCGCATTGGTCGGTCCGTACATTGCTCTTCCACGCCACAGACGTCGCCCATCCACTCAACTCGTCGGCGCACGGACGGTCAGCCATGGCGATGGCGGACTGGTCGTCGCTTCCGTCGGACCTGGTACGCTGCGTCGGCGACCGCCTTCTCGCCGCGAGCGACAGCGACATCGACGACTACATGGGCATGGGTGCCGTCTGCCACAACTGGCGCCAAGCCATGGCCGACCCATGCCGACGCAGCACCGGCGCTGACCTCCTCCGTTTCCGGCCTCGGCACTGGGTCATGCTCGACGACGCCGCCGACGACGAGGGCACCGTGCGTCTCTTCTTCAAAGTAGTCACTGGCCGCATTATCCGCCGGCGCGTCCCTTTGCTCCGCTGCCACCTCCTCGTAGCCCACCTGACCGCCGGCAAACCCTCGCCGTTGCCCTTCCCACACCCCGCGGGTCGCCCCTACTGCCCCAAGAACGCAAGCATGGCCGCCCACCGGGGTCACGTCTACGTGGCCGACCGTGATGCGCAGGTCGTCAGGTGCGTCGTCGCGTCGGGCCGCTGCTAATCATCTCCGACGACGTGCCATCATGGGAGTTGGACGCCGACCGCCATAGCGACCGGGCTTTTCTCGTGGAGTCGGCCGTCGACGAGCTGCTGCTGGTCCGCCTCCAAAGGCGACGGGCGCGGTGGGTCGCGAAGGTGTTCAGGGTCGACGTGGAGCCGAAGGAGCTCGAACCCGTGAGGGGCATCGGCCGCCGCGCGCTCGTCGTCGGCGACAGGTGCTTGTCCGTAGACGACGCGGATAGGCTTCCTTCCCTCAGGGGCAACTGCGTGTACCGCGCCGCCAGTTGCCGTGGCGGCGGTGCGTGGGTGTATCGGCATGACCTTGGGGATGGCAGAGAGACGAGGATCTGGGGCCTTCGTGAACGCCCGTTTGGCATGGCTGAGGCTCTGCTTAATCACTGCGTCGCCGCCACAAATTGAGCTGAGCGGAGCACTGTTCCTTATTCACTCATCCTCACTTGATGGTACGTAATTGGATTTGGGTGCACCGTGCAACTCTCTTCAGTTTGTAATGCTCTTGTTCGCGATGGCCACCGACTTGGCTCTTTTTATCGCCCATTCATTGCTTAAACGGGGACTTGGCTCAAAAGTAGGCACGCACGCGTCAATGTTGTTATGGTACGGGCCAATGTTTGTATCTGTCTACTTTCACCGGAAATCCAATTCGGCTTTAAAAAAACAAATCAAACACCAAATGTTTACCTCAAAATGTTACATTTCATTTATTTTTCACCGATGAATCACTGATATCCTATTTTGCATGAAAATTTTTCAAGCACACTTGTTAGACTAATATAAACATCCAGCAGAAAAATCAGAATTTCTGTAAAAAGATTAATATTTGTTTTAAATTTACTGTTTCCGGGAGCATATGATCTATAGAGTTAAAACGGCCCTGCCTACTTTCACTTGTAATAATTTTGTTTTTTTTTGGAGGGGGGGGGTGCACTTGTAAACTATTAGTAGTACAATTTCATTGTTAACCACATATTCTTGCAAAAAGATGTCGTCATATTATCACACAAAGACATAAAAGCAGAAAAATAAAACTTTTATGAGTACCTAAATTAAGCAAATTCAAATTACCTCGTCGACAATAATGCTTCAGTTCTTCACAAAAAGTAGATCGTCTCGCTTTCATTTTTTCCCTTTTCTCCCACCTGATAAATGCCTTTTAGGCAACATTCCCAAATTGTGAAGTGTAAATACATGGAACTAGAATTTTAGAAATTACAACTCCAACATGCTTCGCTGGTGGTAACTACTGATAAAGAGATGATGATAGATCATGAAAGAACATGTATCATTTCTTAGGCCGACAACTTTATAATTGGCACTTGAGGCTATGTACAATATGAGATGCTTAAAACATGCTTAGGAAAAAAAGAGTTAAATATACTGGGGATGCCTCAACTTGTTCTACACAGTCAGTTTGGTGCCTAAAGTTATAAAAAATAATACACAAAATGGGTGCTCGAAGTTGTCCGGACGTGCAAATACGATGCCTCCTTCGAAGCTCAGGCGAACACTATGCCCGCGTGGCGCTGGTGCAAATGTCAGTGGCTGAGAACGGGGAAGGGGCTGGAATAGGCGTGCTCCGTGTAGTATGGGGTTGAATATCGGCTATGCTCCTTGCCAAGATGTAAACTCAAAATGTTAATCCTTGGAAACGAGTAACCGTTAGACTAACATAAATATTTTAGTCCCCGCAAAAAAAACATAAATATTTTAGGGCGACTAAAATATTACTCCAGCTGTAAAGAAATGTAAGAGTATTTTTTTTCTTTCAAAATTGGCAGTAGGTTGCTCATCAGGCCCCAAAAGAAACTGAAAAGGCCATAAAATGGGACATTTAGCAGGCCCAATCCTGAGAAAGCCCATCGAAGAAGCCGTAGAAGAAGAGATGTCCATTTGCCTGTGAGTGAATCAGATCCATTTGTAGATCCCCAATCCCCCCGCCGGCCATCCCGATGGCGGCGCCACCGCCGGAGCCGCCGATCCTTCGAACCCCGGATGAGCTCCTCGAGGAGATCTTCCTCCTTCTCCCCACTGCTGCCGACCTAGCCCGCGCCTCCCTGGCGCGCGCCTCCTTCCGCCATCTCATCACCGGCCACGCCTTCCTCCGCCGCTACCGCACCCTCCACCCGCCCCCTCTCATCGGCGTGCTCGATGTCGACGACAGTACCTTCTTCCCAGCCCAGCCTCCGCACCCCTCCGCCGTCGCCGCCCGCACTTTTGCCGGCTTCGACTTCTCCTGCTCCTCCTTTCTCCCCTCCACCGCCGGCCGTACCTGGAGGGCGATTGACCTCTTGGACGGACGCGTCCTCCTCGGCGGCGCCCCAGAGGAGGCGTGCGACTTGGAGCACCTCCAACTTTTGGTCAGGGAGCTCGCTGTGTGCGATCCCGTGTTCCGCCGCTACATCCTGCTGCCTGCCGTCCCCGGCGACCTGACGGCACTGGTCCCTGAACCGGAGGACCTCCTCGATTTGGACACTTTCCTTGCTCCCGGCGATGATGAGGAGGACCCTTTATCATTCAGGGTCATGTGCTTGGTGCGATGCAGAAGGAATATGCTGCTCCTCGTCTTCTCCTCTGTGAATGGGCAATGGCATGCTCTTACATTTGACCAATGGAGTGTTCCGGGTACATTTGACCCATATAAGGATGGGCTGTTAAATCGTCAATTAGTCGGCCGATGCTTCTGTTGGCATCCACCTTTCCTCAACAAGTTGCTTCTGCTCGACACGCGCTCCATGGAGTTCTCTGCTATCAGCCTCCCACCCTAACAACCGCAGTGTCACAATTTTGTTATTGTTGAGGCAGCAGAAGGAATGCTCGGGATGCTCACTGGAATCAATGACGGGCACAACGATGGTGGCCCATATCGGCTCGTGTATTCCATTCTAACAAACAACCAATGGCACTCACAGAATGTCATCCCATTGCCGGAAAAGTATGGTGTTATTTTGTTTGGTGTAGCCGGGGGATACGTGCTCATGCAGGCATACACCACATCTTCACCAGAGAAGCTATGGTTCTTTTCAGTGGACGTCATGACGTTGCAGGTCGAGTTGTTCGGCGAAGGCTCCTGTAGTGGTGAACTATATGCTAGCCTCCCACGATTATTATGTGCACCAACTATATGAAGCGGTGAGTGTGTTATCTGCTTACTTTTATTTAACCTCTGGTTTCAGTGTCGTGCAGCAAAAATAATATGATTCAGGTGTTTATTTGATGATAATTTGCTTTTCCACTCTGCTTGTTTCTTGCAAACAATGCTCTTTGCAGATGTAGCAATATACTGTTCAATATTGTTGTGGGTATTTAGGTGATAATCTATTGCCTAATTTATGTGTGCAATTGGAAGGTCATTAAACTCTGAAAGCTAATAATATCTAATTATTATCGATTATTTCCAGTTTTTTTATTTTTATATGTAACTTCTGTATGCGTAGAAATTGTCAAATTACAACAGCCCCATATTTCTGCTCCAAACAGCAGTTCTGGCAGTTTATTTTTAAGTGATTACAATCCACTACAGATTACTCCATAAATCACTTGTATAGAACATAGATAGCAGGTCTAGTAGCTCCACATATGAATTTAGTGGAACTGTTGATTTTGGTTGTTTGTCGATTCTTTGCTGTCGATGAGCTAAACATGAAGGATAAGGATATTATTGTATTATTACTCCCAGCTGATCTGGATAGGTAACTTTATGCTTATAGCCTTATAGATAGCAAGACATAAAAGATAAAACAACAGAAAGGTTGTATACATGGATACACCACTAAGCTTTTACTTTTACTTCCCAGGTCAGAATGTATTTACTCAGTTTCTTATGTTGCTGTATCATCTCCTCTGCATCTGCTTTATCAAGCTCTCCAGCTCTTGCATCTTCCATGAGCCCATGACCTTTTACTTCTTGAATAAATCAGTCAGCGTAGTGTATTCTTATCATATGACATCTAGGTTTCTGAATCATATGCACACACAGGAATTCACTTACTGGGCAATGTGATAGTCACCCCCTTGCAAATACCCAGTGTCAACTTGATGCATCACATGCAGCAATTGATATATTTGATGTTTGTTATGTGGTACTTGGTAGGCTTGTATATATTCCTATTGGTGCCCTGTTCATATGGAAAGCCCATGCTGTTTCATCTTTCTGCAGATGCTGATGCCGCGTGAACTAGGGAGAAGAAGTTGGTTCCTCTGAGCATGTTGTGGTCAGGAAGAGAAAGTGATGCGTGGATCGGATGTATTCGTTTGTTCAATGCCGATGCCGTGTCGGAAGCTATCATGCGTGCGTGTGTGCGGTTGCCCAGTTGCAGCATTTGAACTTTTGAAGTGTATGCCAATCTCTGAACTTTTAGGTTCTTGTTACTGCAATGTTAATGTCTAAAAGCTCGGGTAGGCCCTGCTTAGGGCCTGAGCTTGCTTGTATCGACTGAACTCCTGCAATGGCAAGGAGGTCTAGAATGTTACTGGATGAAATGCTTTGTTTCGATGTATCACAACTAAATATTACTATTAGTATAAGAAGTCCCTGAGACAGACAGAGTTGCAGTGGAAGATGGATGTGCTGGCAGTCGTATTCTTCTTCCTCAGAAGAAATGGAAACAAGTCGTACATTGATTTGAACTCCCATAGCATACATATTCAGAAGCCACTCACTCTATATCTTACTCTGCCGCATTCCCATATTGAGGAAAGCCACTTGATGATGTTTCATTTTGGCACCATTCCACGTCTGGTTCTTTTATCCGCGTTACTTTTGTCTAATTAACGGTAGGTAAATGAAATATCGGTGACAATGCATGATCTTTCAGTAGTACAGTGGTGGCTACAGTAACTTGAATAAAAGTGGATCCGATTCTTGCTCCACAAAATGGTGATACAGCTGCATCTACCGGTGGTGTTTTGTTGATTTGGCGTCTCTGGTACTGGTCCAACGAGATATTGTCCTTAGTTTTTCCTTTCTTCAGAGCTCCAATGTCATTTTTCGCCATTTGCCATGACTAGCGTGGGGCCGCCTATGTAGATCGGACAGAGATATGCGGGCATCCATCAGCCGTCCAAACAATATTCCAACATACATCATCCATCCAAAGCAAAAGCCTCCCACACTCTATGAACAGAGTTAAGTTTTTTAGCCGCTTCGGTACAACCCCGTCACTAAACGTAAATGGCAGTGTGGACCTTTGACATATCGTATCAGCTTTCATATGTATTTTTTTTTTGAGCATCAGTACAAACACAAGCGCTCATATACACGCGCATACACTCATCCCTATGAACGCACACACGCACACCCTACCCCTATGAGCACCTCCGAGAGACTGAGCCCGCATATCATCTTGAGATTTACGATGTATGATGGGTCATCCGTCCGAACATATACGCTGTATTTTCACGGAGTAGGGTCAAATAGACGGCGCATAGACCGCCAGACTGGGCCGGACCATTTCATTTCCGCCAGGTGCACAATGCCTTCCTACATGGGCAAGGCTCACTTACTCTTTTTTCGTTCTTTTAAATCTCAAAAAAGAAGTGAGGATAGTGGGACTCCAACTGCAGACCTGTATGTTTAGTTCAACCAGAACTAGTAAGGCGTACTAGCTATGCCCACTTCCATCTTTTTCCCTTCTCGTATGGTAATATTACAAAAAAAAGCAGCACACTCTCGGTCTGGTTTTTATTATATTTTTCTCTGTTCGCCCGGTTTTCCTTCAGCTTTTTCGTTTTCTCTCACTTCTTATTTTATTTTATTTTTATCAAGTCACAAACTTTTTTGTAAACTTTTTCAAATTTGCAAACTTTTCTTGAATTCATATTTGTTTCTACATTAGTGAACTTCTCCTTTTAAAATTTTGTCAACTTTTTCCAAATTTCTTGAACTCTTTTCAATTTTCATGAACTTTTTTCCACATACATGAACTTTTTCAAACTTGTGAACATTTTTCAAATTTGTGAATTTCAATTTTTTAAAATGCATGAACTTTTAGCTCCTGAACATTTTCAGAATCATCGTTTTTTCAAATTCCATGAACTTTTTTTTTTCAAATTTCTAAAAGAATTTGAAACTTCATGATTTGTTTTCAAATGTGTGAACTTTGTTCAGATCCATGCACTTTTTTCTAAATTCATTAATTTTTAGCTGTGAACTTTTTTCCAAATGCATGAACTTTTAGCTCATGAATGTTTTTCCTGTTGTCATGAACTTTATTCCCAAATTTGCATACTTTTTTTAAACCCGTGAACTTTTTTCAAATCTGTGAATTTTTTAGCCATGTACTTTTTCGACATGTTTGAAATGACCTAATTTTTTTATCCGTGAAGTGTCCCCATTTTCTATGCGTTGTATGACCAATTCAAGGTACCATGTCAAGTTGTTTGGAGTTTCAACGACTTTTTGCATTTTCTGAAGTTTTCTCGTGAAAAAATGTCGATAAATGGCCTGACGTGACGCCATATGCATACGGTGCCAGAATTCGGTTGAACCAGACATGAATGCCTATAATGGGAATGCTCACCTAGTGCTGAAAGGTGGGGTCATTCATGCATGTCCAAAAACAGACCATATTCAATGGAGGGTGTTCCAGTAAGGCAAAAGGGTGTGCCTATGAGTACATTTTTCGACATTTGTTAAATGGCCCTAAATTTTTCTATGGCCTTTCGTGACTAATTCAAAGCACCACGCCAACTCTTTACGGTTTTTGATAAATTTTTATTTTTTTGGAGTTTTCTTAGTAAAAAGGCAGATGGCAAGACGGGTCGCAACTTGCATACGGGGTCGAAAATTGTTCAAAACTGACATGGATGCCAAACATGGGCATGCCTAACTGCCCGCAAAAGTTGTGGTCATTTGAAAGATGTACAAAAATATGCCATGTTCAATGCATGGTGTTTAGATAGGCCTGTAGGCTCTGTCTGAGAGCATGTTGTTTCTCTACATCCTTCAAATGGCCCCAATTTTTTTCCATAGAATTTTACACCAATTCAAGGCACCATGCCAAGTTGTTTTGCTCTTTGATTTTCTTTACATTTTCTGGTGTTTTATCAGTGAAAAAAAGCCGATAAATGACCGGACGTGACGCAACATGCATACGGTGTCAGAATTCATTCAAAACATGCATGCATGCCTACCATTGGGATGCCCATATGGTGCCAAAAGTTGGGGTCATTTCATACATGTTCAAAACTTGACCATGTTCAACGATGGGTGTTCGGATAGGCAAAAGGGTCTGTCTGAGACATTTTTTTTGACATTCGTCAAATGATCCTAATTTTTTTTCATGGCCATGTATGGCCAATTCAAGGCACCATGCCAAGTTGTTTGCTGGGTTTTCGACATGTTTTGCATTTTCTAGAGTTTTCGGTCAAAAAGGGCCGATAAATGACCGGACTAATGCAATGTGCATACGATGTCGGAATTCGTTCAAAACTAGCATGGAGTCCTACCATTTGCATGCCCACCTGGTTCCAAAATTTGGGGTCCTTTCATGCATGTCCAAAAATGGACCATGTTCAATGGAGGGTGTTCGAGTAGGCAGAAGGGTCCTGTGAGACTACTTTTGTTGACATCCGTCAAATGACCCCAATTATTTTCATGGTGTTGTATTACCGATTCAAGGCACCATGTTGTTTGGGTTTTCGATAAGCTTTGGATTTTCTGGAGCTTTCTCGGTTAAAAAAATTGATAAATGGTCGGACGTGTCGCCCAGGACATGTACAGGTGCAGCCACCCCATACCCTGACCCATCCACCCAGAACTTGCCTA